CCCACTTATTCATTGTCACTGACTTATTGTTAGGTTCTTGTATTCAATTGGAACAATTTTACATTGCGTTATGATATGGATGATACGTAGCGTGGATCTGCCCATTGAGGTGACAGGTGAAAACTGCGATCGCGTTGCGGAACCTGAAAATATTAACCTATTTCAAAGATATTTTGCACGTTTAATAACGAGGTCCAGTGACAACTTTTCCGCACTATTGGAAATTGCTATTGGAAATTTAGATTTTTTCACCCCACCCTAGCCCACATCTTATATAGTTGGGTTTTATATCCTTGCATCTATGCAGTACATTAGTCCATAATACACAAAAAATCATTAGAGAAATGTTTAAATGGCTTTTCTTTCGTATAGACACTAGGTTTTCTACACGATACACGAAGGTGTCTCATCACTGTAACTCTGGCCATTTATTTGGATCCTTGACCCACTGACCTGACAGGGAGTACAGGTCAGGAAAACAATACATAAAAATACCTTTCGCTTATTAGTGTAAGATAAGCTGCATTCTGCTACTAAACCATTAAAATAATTAGAGAAGGTATTTTGATGATCTATTTTCCTATGTTGTAAATTTGATTTTGGCGCTCACACCTGTCACCATTACTGCAGAACAGTCACTTTCTTCCATCAGATAGGCTCCACCCACGAAACACATCATCGCTATTTACACACACAATTCTGCATCCCGAACATGAGTTGGCAGATGGTTTCATAATATAGGGACCCCGTAGCTGAAGGCTACAGTGCCAACTGTTATTTGTTACTGTACTGCTCACATTTACGTACTGCTCCAGTACTGCTTCAATGGAAGCTCAGCCAAGTCACACAAACGCCTAGTCAACTCCACAACAGCATTGTACAGTATTTCACTTTAAGACAAAAGTCTTTGCTAAATGTAAGAAAATGTAAAAATACTTTATTTAAGCTGGCTTGCAAAAGTATTCAACTCCCATAAAGTTAGCAAATTAGCCTGAATTACAAATAATGCATGCACATACTCTCCCTATCAAATTCATAGTCATTCACAGTAATTTTTCATTATTTATAATTACTTGTAGGGAAATATTTTCTAGAAAATCAACAACTGAAAAACTGACTCAAAATGGGACACAGGATTTTTCTTTTCAATAAGGGCAGATCCTGTAAAATACAGGATAGATGTACCCCAGCCTCGTGCCCTGTGATGGACTGGCATCCCATACAGGGTGTACCCCAGCCTCGTGCCCTGTGATGGACTGGCATCCCATACAGGGTGTACCCCAGCCTCGTGCCCTGTGTGGCTTTGGATAGGCCTAAATGCCACCCTGACCAGCAAAAGTTGTTAGAAGATGGTTTTGATGGATATATAAACAAACAAACAAATAAATGTATATAAAGTTACTGTTTGCAGACTTTAGTTTTATATTTCACAATGAGATTCCCGTCAAAACTTGCTGCCAAGTTAAAGATTCAGTGCCTCCATATGCCACTGGATTCTGGACTCTCTCATTGGCACATCCCACCACATGCGGGTGAGAAACAATGGCCTTGCACCCTCATCCTAAGCACAAGCTCTGCATTGGCCAGTGCACTGAGCCCCTTGCTATACTGCCTACTCACACGTGCGTGGTTAGACACATCTCCAGTTATAAGATCAAGCTTGGTGATGATACCACCGTGCTGCATCAGACCACCAGTAACGATGAGTCAGACACAGGGAGGAAGTTCTGCTCCAGGCAGAGTGGTGGCAGTACAACAGCTTCTCCCTTAAGGTCAGTAAGACCAAGGAGCTTGTCATCAGTTTCAGAAGCACACCTTGTTCCCACATATATCAGCAGGGAAACTCTGCAGAAGACCAGCAGCTGACAGTTCCTGGCAGCTGCCAGCATGCAGCATATGCCTGCTGTAATCAAGAAGGCACCTAAGGTCTGAGCAAGATGCAGATGTTACCAGCAGCTGTCACAAATTTACACAGATGCACAATGGAATCAGTCCTTTCTGGACGTATGACAACATGTTTTGGGCTGAGGCCTGGAGAGTGAAGCTGAAGGTAATGAATACTGGGCCAGTATTCACCAATGGCTCCATCACCAGGAGACGTCTGCCTTCATTTCAGGGCTCTTTTACCACACACTGCTGAGAAAGACAGGTACCACAGCCTCCTTGCCTCTGGTAGACAGTATAGCAATTTCAGTACTAGAATCACATTGACTACATAGGACAAATGGCACATATCAAGATCTGGGATATATTAAACAGTTAGCTAACATTCAGTACTCACTGACGTATTAAATGCAAAAGAAATGGGCTATGTAGCCCTGTACGCTGCACGGCTCGATGCACTGTGCCGTGACACATTATTCCTATCCATAATGCTTCTACTATCTACCATTTGTGTCATCATAGCCCTTCTGTTGGTTTGTATCACATGGGGTAGCCTTTGTTCGCATCTCGCATCAATGAGTTTTGGCTGCCCAACACCCAGTTACTCACTACAGCTGAGCATGTGGAACCCACAGGCTCTGCCTTTTCAGAGATGCTCAGACACAGTCAACTGACCATAATGATTTGGCCTTTGTCAATGTCACTCAGGTTTTTATATCTGCCCATTTCTTCTACATTCAACATGTCGAGTTCAAAATGTTTGCTTACTGTCTAATTCATCCCAGACCTTGACACCCACCATTGTTCTCAATCTGCCATCCAGCACAGGCTGGCATGGAGAACTGGCTCCTTGATAGACTTGATAGACTGGCTCCTTGATAGACCACAGTCTACACCTTGCTTTTAGACAGCAAGCCCACTCTTTTTCTATGTTATCATGCCTGGGGGGTTGGGCGCCCAGTTGACCTTGGACCCCCAGAAATTTTTTTCCTCCCTGCTTGGGAGTTTTTTGTTCCTCTCCTCTGTTGTAATCTGCCTTTCTTTCTTTCATTTCTTTGTCCTCCCTTTTCCCGGTTTTGAATTATTCTGCATAAATGTTGCAGGAATGTATCGTAACACACCCATGTAAAGCATCTGTATACAAATAATTTGAATTTCACAAGATAGTCAACATTATTCGGTTCACATGGGGGTGGTCATAAGGCTTTATGGTCGGTGTTTTCGACGCTTTAGGATTAACTGCTGGCCATCTGCATTCTGTCATCATCACTCTCATTTTAGTGAGTTTGTTTTTGTGATAAAACATGCGTTTCTAGTGATCAATTTTCTTTTAGGCTGCACAAATGCCATCAAATTCGTATGTGACAGCTGGATATAAAACGTGAGCGGAGACGCTGCATCTGGATCCTCTCCAACTACAAGCTGTCAGGTGAAATGTGGCAGGAAACTTTACGGGAAATAATGTCTCAGAGAGTGGCTTTGAAAGCCATATTCAGCAACAAACAAATAATTTCATGCTGACAAGTGCAAAGGCAATAAAATATTGGATACCTGGTTAGATCATTTAGCTGTAACAATTCCATAACAGTATTTGAATGTCAGTTTTTTGTACATGTTAAAAGCCATTTAATTTTTTATTGTACGCATGTTCCTTTTGAACAGGCCTATTTGGAGTTATCTAAAGTTATCTAAAGAAGTACCATATTGTAAACGTTGAGTCATAAATTATCTAAACCTGTGTACTAGGCAAATGTCTCATGTCCCAAAACCAGACAGCTTAACATCAGAGGTAGAATGTTTATGATCCTTTTAACAAGTTCCTAATAAATCTAAACCATTTTTGGGTCATTCTGTTTTATCTTTTTAACCCATCAGTATCCTGTGTGGGGAACGGTTAATTAGCGGATACGAAGTTCAATATAATGCATCTCCAACAGCTAGATTGTCTTCAGCACGTTGTTTGCCATTGTTTACCAAATTAGGTTTTTCATCATGCTTTACAATAATTCACCCAATGGAATACGGGTATGAGATAAAAAAAAAATGCAATTGTTCTAATACGATTCCAAATTCTTTTCCAATACAAACTTGTAAGCAGGTATAAAAGTCTTAATAAAAAGAAATGGCATATATAGCACAATAAAGGGTATTTTTCAGTGAAATTGTTTAAATCAAATCACGCAACTAGTACCAATGACCTCATTTGGGATATTTAGGAAACTGAAGATGGCAAAGTATTCAAAACATGAAACATTGGCACCCAAGACATCTGGAATTGAAACAAGAGCTCACAAATACTCAAAATCAATTTTGTTTTTTATTCCGGATCTGTAGTCTGTACTTTGTTTCAAATTTACTCTGCTAAATAAGTGCAATAAAAACATTATATTCTAATTTTTTAAGACACCTTTCCCTCCTTTTTGATCTGAAACACCAAAAGCGTTCGGAAAATGAAATGTGGCACTTCCGTGATACACAAACAGTACAAATACAGAGCCCCTCAGAGTGCATCAAATCATAACATATTTACACTCAAGCAAATCAAAGAATTTTTTTTGGGGGGAGAAGGGGTGCACATATGTTTTGCTATGCAAAAAACTATTTGGCAACACATACGTAACATCATGTGCAACAGCTCCAACTTCTATGCAAAGTAAACACACTTTATACACAACAGGAATGTGAGGACTAGGCACTTAGAACTTTTAATTATAGGACCAAAATATCCTTACTGGGCTACAGCTGTGCTTATTAAATAAGAAAAAAAATACAAGGTTTCTTACAAAAGCTGCTTATCTTGCCAGGCAGCACAGGGGGGGGGCACTGGATGAGCTGGCAATGGGCAAACACACATAAAAAGGCAGTTTATATACACCAACGAACACAACTGCATGTCTCCCCAGAAGAGGGGAACTGCACAAATTAGCACGGGCAAAAGTAGCAATCCAGCCAATTAATACATGGTATTTCTATTTTATCCAACCAGTCATGCTTGCAATTGTCAATCACCGAAGACCACGGGGTCCACAGCACCAATTCTTGGCTCTAAGCTAATATTGTTCAATATACCGCTAGCTAATGTTGTTCAAAATACAGCTATCGAAAAAGTTAAACAAAGCAATTCTCATTTTTCCAGTTTCAAAATGTAAAAAACACGTGCTGAACATCTCTATGGCACACATCACAAAAACTACTTTACGAAGTTACGTCACGTAGCGCTTCGGGAGACACACAGCCAGACTCATTTCACATGTCTCTTGTGCTGAGAAGCTACGTTAATGGAAGATGGAAACCGCTGTTGCCCGCCTCTAGTTTATAAACAGGGCAGCATAAGTGAGATATTGTGTTATTTTGATTTTATACCAAATGAAAAGGGTGAACTCACAGAGCCGACAGTATACAAACGCTGCTAAGAGGCAACACCCTGATTTATATAAGGAGTTTGAAGACGGTCACGTGTGCATAACAGATATAAAACATTATAGTTATGTAATTTAGCAGTTCTATATTTCTGTTTAAAGTCATGTTTAGCCTGCATGCCAGTTCATTCATATCGCTTTCCTCAGTGATAAGTAGGCGAGGCAAAATGATGAACGCAACAAATACAAATGCAAATATAAACCTAAGCTTAGTGTATTACCAATGAGGATTCATAACAGGATAGCTCTAATTAAAATCAGAATCTGTGTATTGAATTGAGTTTAATTAATAAATAGGCTAATACGGTTAATTTAACATAAATAGGCCTATTTATTTAAAGCAATATAATATTTAAATGGGAATGTTTTACAGTATCGAATCAGTATTGATACTGAGGTACCATGGCAGTGTCAGTGTAGAAGGTCATAATCTTGGTACCATTCAAGCTCTAGTCCAGGGTCCATGTTCATTGTGACCTTATACTGGATCAGCAGCACAGAAGATGAACAGATAATCTCGTAGTAACAACAGTTTGGCAAACAAATAAACCCACTTAATTCTTTTTTCTGCTTAAATGTGATCATTAAATTAATAAATCAATACAGTCACTGTATTTAGGATTACAAAACAAGATTAGAAACAAAATGTAATAAATAAAGAAGAAAAACTCTTTGTATTTGACAATTACTCTCTCCTCATAATTCATACCCCTGCCCAACTCTGCAAAATTTAGCACAACACACCAGCAAAACAGGTACAGGTACTGGATCAAATGTAACATGACCGCATGATTTAATCGGCTGGAGGGGCTCATTTTACATTCCAGACACACAAGTGAACAAGCAGATAAAAACCATCTCTGCTTTCCAAAACATCTGAAAAAATATAGACCTCACATAGATATTCACAGTTTTAAAAAATTCATTCCATTCATTAAAAATTCAACAATCAGTGAAATAAAAATTGTGTCGAGTCGTTTTGAAATGGTGGGCATGTTTTCTGTACCTAAAGAAGGTGTTTAAACCCCTGCCCTGAGGGAGGGAAATAATCGCAGTCCTTAGTTTTTCCAGAACGGTTTCCAAAAAAAGGAAAATCTATTCATTAATTCATCCCCAAAGCATCTGTAGGTAATGTGTATTTGTAAGTCCACCAACATGATTGCCAAAGGGTTTCAAATGCATAAAATAATGTGTAAACCCCTGAAGTTTGGTTAACAATACACTCAGTTAATTGTTTTTCAAGGTTTTTTTCTCCTCCCAAGGAGGAACACTGATTTCTGCCTTTATACCTGCTGTGCAATGACTGAGTACTCAGAAAGGATCATTCAAGAGTATTACATGTGTAAACATCCCTCGGTCACATATTTGTGTGAAACTCCCACTTTGTCATGTTCCCCTTGGAGGTACTAGCAAGTCTGAGCACGGCTTTAGATCCCAGCCTCTGCATGTATGTTTCTACTCCTTCACATGCCAGTAGTCTCCTCTCCGTCTTCCGTTTCCTCCCTCTGGGGAAGCAGCTTGTACTGTTCCGAGCCCAAAGCCCGGAAGGAATTCCGATGAGGCTCCTCCCCTACCTCTTCATCCAGTGGCTTGAGTGTAGAGGCGGAGTCAGGTTCCATTGTGTTGCATTTCATGTAATCCTCTCTCTCGACGTCTGTCTCGCGCCTGCGTCCCGTCTCCGGCCCTTGGCCGAGTTTGTTTTTCAGCAGCGTATGTAGGTAGCCCAGAGGGACAGGGAGGGAGGCAAATATGATCAACAGCGAGAGGACCACTAGCGCCCACTGCGGGTAGTCCAGCTTTCCTTTCGAAGCCTGAAAAGGGAAGGAATGGGAAAACAATGAGACGGAGCCAGAGAGGGATTACGTCACTTAGGCACTTAGAGATTACGTCACTTAGGAATTTAGGGGTTACGTCACTTAGGCAAAAGCCATTTGTATGTTGCTGCACATCATTTCTATAATTAGTTTGTCGTCGACATGATCAACAGAAACTCGCCCCTGTCACACAACAAAGAGACAAGCAAATTTGTTAAGGGAAATTCCACTTGAGGTGCCAAATTTATTGAACAATGAAACCTCAACATTTAGCACATTCCCGACTTCCGGAATAAGTCAGGATATAAATGAACAAGGAAAATGGTCCTATGGGTATTTTTTTGAATTTACACCAAACAAACTTTGAGGGTTTCAAAAAAACGACAAAAACCATCTTGCAAAATTTCAAGCTGAAAATTCTTTTAACTTTTGACCCTTTCTTGAATTTGTGGGTTCTTGACAGAGTTCATCATCGTAATTATACATTACGATCACCTCACTCCAAATATCTTCTGCAAACTATACAGCAAGCCTGCAACGGCAACTGTGAACTGCCAAACTGCGTTGACGGCGTTTCAGCTTGTTGGAAGTGAGTCACAGAATGATATGCGATTCGCAAGCTGAAATACTAGTTCAGCCAGGCAGTTTACCAGCCTAAACAAAGCAAAACACTGCAACGCTCAACAAATCTGTTTTTCTTACACAAGGTGTTACCCTGCCTTACTCGCTGTCACGTCTTTATGGAAAAGAGATGATATAATAATGCAAAAAAAAAAAACTACTTTCCTCTTCACACTATGCATTCATCATAGACAACAGAATACAACAATAACAATCATGGAATGCAGGATTTTCTATTATTCTTAATTTTCTAAAAAGCTGACAACTGGCTTATTTGAAATCTGGAGGATAAATGGAATATATAAAAGTTTTACTCCCACTAATTGAAATTCCGATGCTCCTCAGTTTACAATGGTGCCACGACGATTTACATTCAGCAGTCATCAAACTTTGAATTTTGATCCATTCCCGGGCTAAAGATATGCCGTATGAAACATGATCAACATGTATGATACTGATGCCAGGCAATAACAGCATCCACCCAGAGTCCCTGTAGTGATTATGAGCAGAAACATCTCCCACAGTGCTTTACAGTGTATGGTACCGTATTTATTTTCCTGCGTTTAACGAAATTTTCCCAAGCCCTACTAGACAATCAAGTGTATCAGATCATATATTCGTATTTGACATATGATATTTTCAGTTTCATTGGAACGTAACCGTGTTATAGGTTGAGGAGCAGTTGTATCTTTTAGTCACTACTAAAATAACTCCCAAGGGCAGGAAAGGGAAATTAATCATCCCAAAAAATGTGGGTTTGATATCTGAAGTGTTAATGCAACTACATTGTATTTGGGTCATATTTAGGAGTCAGCGCTACATGTTTTGTTTTGTTTTTTAAACAAGAACAGTAATTTGCTAAAAATGCATTGTTTTTGTTCCTACTGGTGCTTTTGAACACATTATTTAAAAAGGATTAGTTAACGGATAATCTATGGGTGGAAACATATAGGCTCAACTTGCAATACGCACACAGATCTTTGTGGACCCTACTAAAGGTACATGGTATGTTCTGCACCACACAAAAGATGCTCCCTACTAAAGGTACATGGTATGTTCTGCACCACACAAAAGATGCTCCCTACTAAAGGTACATGGTATGTTCTGCACCACACAAAAGATGCTCCCTGCGCAGAGTACAGATAATTCAGGCAGCACATGCAAATGCTCTAGCAGCGCACACTTACCGTACTGTGGTTCCAGGCAGTGTACGTTGGCCGTTTCAATATCATCTGCAATACACTCGCCCCCAACAGGCCAATCATGGCCAGCAGGCAGATGTACTTCCACAGGTACTTGTATACCACTGGAGGGCGCCATTGCAACATGTTTTCAATGTCATCCAGGAATCTGCAGCAAAAGGGAAGAACGATGACCACGGCGAGTCCCGCTGCTGACAAACGTACAACTCCAGTTTTTAATCTGTTTAATCACTGTGAACTTTCTAGACATGGGAGTACTTTGCTGGTTGTCTGTGTCTGTAATCCTCACCGATCAGCTCCGTAAACCCAGGAGACACTGAATGTTTCGAAAATGACCACGATGATCAGCGGCAGAGTCGCAGAATAATCGTCGAACATGGTCACAAAGTAGTTGCCACAGCGCTGGGTGAACACGAGTCCAATGACAAAGCCCACTACACAGCTGCAGACTGGGGGACACGCAGGAAACACACAGACACACATTCAGCACTTCTTAGTAGTGTACACTCTACCTGTAAAGTGCACACATGTTAACAAGGTCAAGCAAACCATTAAAAAGAACTTCAAAGCCTACTTTTAAGTACATTTAACAATGTGCGAGTCACTCTGTGATCTTATTTGCTTACCTGAAAATCTCCTTCATGTGACCTCGCAGACATTACATACACGTGAAAACCATGTAAATCATCATATAAAATTTCAATTACAATGTTTTAAAATGTCGCAACATGTGCAATGGTTTACAAGTGTAATGCCTAAATATTAATTCTCTCTGATTTATTTTATGTCTAAGAAAAAATGATTAACATTTCAGTGAATCTGATAAATAAAGACATTAATAATTATCAATAACTGGAGAAAAAATTCCCGTTTATTGTCAGTAATTGTTGAATATAAATTGATCACAATCAGAACACATATGTAATAACACATTGTGTACTCCCAATTTACTTTGAGAAATACCATTAGTATAACTGGTATAATTCAAGTTTAACAGGTGAAGTTTTGAAATCATCATTTAACCCAGGTGATTCTAATGTGACCTCATGTATAAACCCTGAAGCCATATGTAAAATGAGCGATTTGTAATTCAGCCCTGTAGGACACTGGAGTCCATAGGCTCAGTCGATAAAGGTGAGAGTAGACAGGAATCGGTCTTATTTAACTAGGTTGAAGAGGGGGTGCACTAATGTGAACATTTTTGCCCAAACTATTCACCGAAACATTTCTATCTAATATTACAAATACAGACAACCGGTTAACCTCTGAGGGCCAACAATCTGCATTGACATTGATGTCGGTGCCGTTACTTCTTAAGGTCTTCTGAATGTGTGTGGTAACCACATCATACAATTCAGGCAGTGAGACCTGGAAGACTGTAAGGTTCTAAATGGTGAATGAACCAACAAAATCCCTCATCCCCCTGCGGAAAACGGCTAATCACCCAAAGCAATCTCCATTACTTTAGTACCGACATCTTTAGCACTGCTGCTGCTAATCAAGTACCAGCTGGCAATATCAACCAAGACAGACATTCCAGACCAATACCAATATCTGAAATTTTAACGAATATTGGCTAAAACTGATTCGTTAATCAATATCTCATACATCTCTAGATTGGAGAGAAGGAAAATCCTCAAGAAAGCATCTCACTTGAATCTGCGAAAAGGCAACGGTTTCTAAATGCTGTCAAACAGAGAATTTACCTACTGCGGCCCAGGGGGGCCTTTTGTTGGACCAACATCCTGAACTTGGGAAGTAGGTGCCAAGATGGTTACAAAGAGGGACATATAAGAATATTGGACAAGAAAGTGAATGCTAATGAGGGGAGCCTCGAGAGCCAGCAGGAAGAAGAGAATGGTTAACGCGACTCACCTGTCAGAGCCGTCTTGTGTCGCATCAGACGCTTGAAGTTGTCTGTGAGGGGCGTAAGGATGCCCTGCATGGTGCCAAGCATGGTGCTGAGGCCCAGGTTCAGAAGCATGAGGAAGAAGAGTGCTGACCAGAAGGGACTGGCGGGGAAGAGCGACATGGCCTCTGTGAAGGCGATGAAGGCCAGCCCGGTCCCTTCCACACCCTGGGAATGAGCAGCAGGGGGCGCCGGTAAGAGGTCGCTTCACAAACAGACAACATGACATACCAAAAAGGGGGGGGGGGGGGGGGCACCTTGTTCATCTCCTCCTCCGGGTCGCAGTCTGTAACATTCACTGGAACGCTCGACCGGTGGTGCAAGAACCAGTTTCTGTACTCCTCCAGCATCACAGAATCAGGTGTAGAAATGTTAGTCCAGTTCAACAAATGGTTCAGCTCAAACTCCCCAGAGGAAATCCCAGACAGGAGTGCTAAATTCCTGAGGTGAGAGACCAGGGGAAACTTCAGCAAGCAGTGCACCAAGGTCACACACACGCAAATACAAAGAGGGGTAACGCTAGACAGGTCATGTAAGGGCTCTGTGCCTGGGGTCTCTAACTGAAATAGCCTGGGGGCAGTCCAGTCTTCTCCCAAGGGGACCATTTTGCCATTTTGGCTACTTTTTTATGAGCCGAAAGAGAAACGAGGGAGAGGATGTAACATTAATTGTTACATCACCGGTGGTGAAGCTTGCTGGGGGGGCAGGGCTAGCTTCTCTAAGGTGCCACATGGTTTCAACCGGCACTGCTGCTAATCAATATGAAAACCAAGTCTAAGATAACTACGAAAAATATCACAGTGAAAAAAGAAAGATCACCCCGTGGGGGAGATTTATTTATGAATTAATCTCCATCTCATAGGCCATTAGTGTGAGACCTCGGCTCGATTTAGCATCCCAAGCCCCCATCACGCGACCCCCCCTCACCGGGTCACACACTCCATGGCCTTGGTTTTGGCACGGAAGCCCAGCACGGCAAACACCACGAGGGTAGCCAGAATGGATGTGAAGAAGTTGATGAAGGAGACCATGAGGGCGTCTCGGTGGCAGTTGTTCCTCAGGGGGTTGTAGGAGGAGTAGGCGATGACGGAGCCAAAGCCCAGCCCGAGAGCGAAGAAGACCTGGGTGGCCGCCTGCCGCCACACCTGCACGCTGCCCCAGATCTCCAGCTGGAAGGACAGGAGTTACCAAGCTGAAGGACACTCAACACATGTATCCTTTTACATCTGAGCTCAAATTGCCTAAATTCACGACAAGCTGGAGGATGGAGTGAAGCGCTATTTGGTGCACGTCACGGTGGAAGCCGTACCTTAGGGTAGATCATGTGGATGATGCCCTCAGATGCTCCATCCAACATTAACCCCCTGATAAGAAAGCACAGCAGCACAACGTAGGGGAAGATGGAGGAGAAATACAAAACCTTGAAGAAAAGCGGGGGAGAGTGGAGGCGGCGTGTTAATCATGCCAACAGAGCACATAATGTACTTTTCACAAAGCAGCTACACACATATGAGTACCTTGCCCGATGACTTGATGCCCTTGATCATAGCAAGGCAAACAGCAGTCCAAGCAGCTAGCAGACAGATGGTCATGACAGAGTTTAACTGGCCTGTCTCGTTGATGGTGTCGGTGATGTCCAGAGCCTTGCGGAACCAAAAGTATGTGGTGGGAGAACTGTTCGTGCACTCATTCACTATGAGAGACAGAGACCATTTTAGTTTTAACACTATACCTACAGTTATTTCAATACTTTTAAGTGTAGAACAGAACAGAGATACTTTATTAATGGTTATTCTGCCCATCACAATTTACTGGGCCACACACAGCCACACACAAAAGTAAATGAAGTACCATAAGATCCAGCCTGTGTATACCAGGCATTTACAAAGTTGAGGTAGATTAAAGGTTGTGAAAGGAAGCTGTTCATGTATGGGAAGTTTTAAAACAAATTGTTATAAAAAGAAACACCTGCATATTAGTCTGATTTATGAAGACACAAAACAACTATGAAAAACACCTGTCTGGTTCATGTTTAAATACACATTGTTAGCCGAAGGAGTAAGTCTAGGTCCCGTGACGGACACCGATGGCTGTGATGTTATGGCAAGTTGCCGTGTCCACCCACCAGTCCGGTTGTGAATGGGCTCAGGGCATTGCTCCCAGGGCAGGGGGGACTGGAACGAACTGCCCAGATAGAAGAGGCTCCATGCGATGATGACGTTATAGTAAAGGGCTACGAAGAAGCACACCTTGCGAAGGAAGAGAGGGAAAGGAAGTCAACACGGGGGCTGATGCTGAAAACCAGAAGAGTGAACCAACAGACCATATCACAGCTGTCAAACATGTACACATGCTCACCACAACAACGTAACCGAGATTGTAAACCTGTTTCCTGTTAAGTCAGAGAAACTCCCAGACTATGTATAGTTTAATTCTGACGTGTGTCAGGTCAGGACTCAGGTACTTAGAACTGAGAAGTCTGACAAGTGTTTACAGATCAGCTTGTTGTACCGGTTTTTGGACATAACTTCAGAAGACAACTGGTGTGCGTTCTGATACGCAGAAAAAACGACTGTAAGGTGAGGAGTCTTAATATTGGAGGCAGCGCAATATCAGGTGACCAGCTCATTCACTCACCTGTGCCTAAATATTTACCATGGAAAAACAGAACTTGTGCTTTGTCTCTCAAAGACACTGCTGCCTGATACTAGTTATCCTGCCCAAGACCAGGCAACCATTTCGTTTCTTTGTGTGTTTCTGCTGTGCTGAAGTGGATACAGATGCCATTTTTTTCAACTAATCCCGTTTTGTTAAACCTGTACCCCAGTTCCCTATTCCAACTGCCTCACACTTCAGTCACATGATTCTTTTAGCCACCCTGATTGGTTCAAGTCTTACAAGTGAGGTTTAAGGAACTATTTACAATACTGTAACCACCTATTTCTCCCAGATGTGAAGATAAGTGCCACAGTGCAGGTGTGTCAATAGGAGACGAAAAGCAAACTGAATGTCAAACTATTTGAGGAAAAACATTCGGTCGACCTTCTCGGCAGTCTAACCTCTGGCAAGCGAAGGAATGTCACTTGCATACTCTACATACCAACTGCATATTCTTAGGAGGTAGGGTTTACAGGAGCAAATAAAGCTGCAGTCACAGTCAGCATGAATAAATGCAAGCAGATCACAGAGCATTTGAAAACAAAAAGGAGATTCACACTGTCCTGATGTCTTCACAGAAGTTTATACCCATCTAATCTACCAATCAAATCCACTCCTTAAAATTGATACTGACAAAATTTCAAATATCTCAATTTTTTGCAATAAACATTGCATATTTACAAAACAAAAAGTTTACCCAAAAAAAAAAAAAAAAAAGCTAAATGGAACTTATCTACAAATCCAGTCTGTCAGATAACTTGGCTGTGCTGTCTGGGGCAGAGTGCCGACAAACCACTTGCTTTTACTAAATATCGTCTCTATGGAATCCAAAATGCATCCATGCAGCAGAAGGCGAATATCTTTTGGCAGCCAGTGATTATTCTTATTCGAGAATGATTCTGATTGGCTCAGAGAGCACATTTAGAGCTCAGGCAAACGCAGCGGCGGTAAACTTCATTCATTTTTTGACATCAAAAACCATCATTAAAACTGCACAGCTTGCTAACTTTCAGAGCAAAAATGTTTTTGCGAAACACTGAGGATCTCTGTTCCGCGCATCTTATTGCGGAGACCCACCCCCACATCATTCAACAAATTTTAAATCGGCAAGATTTTGAAATGCTGAAACACCGTAAAATAACGGTGCTTTTGAAAATATCAAAGTATATTTTCTAGATGGTATGACTGTATGAAGCTTAATCTCAACTTAGCTGACTACTTCAGTCTTTGCAATGTGACGACGGCACATACATAAAATCTGAAGTGAATCTTAAAATCACACATCGCCCAGCCCTCATTCAGAAGGTAAGAATATGCAAATAGGAGGTTACTATTATATGTAATTGGAAAAATAACTAACTATTCCAGCAAGTTTAGTTAATCTGAGTAAAAAAAAAACCCAAACACACACAATCACCAATAATGCTACTCTGTGCTGTGTATCATGCATCATTGCCATACATGCAGATAACTGAAAATTATTATTAGAAGTGTAAACATGTTTTTTCTTTAGAAAACAGGTTACAACGGATGATTTTAGTGTGATGGTATCATGGTACTGATAGTGAAAAAATGACAAAACACTGAAAATAACAGCTCTAATTCAATAAAAAGGTGAACAGTCAAACAATTCACTTTACTGCTATAAAGATAAGGAGGTACAGATGTAAGAAGGCAGTCAGTTGGCGCGGTGATATGGGAAACCGAACAGCCAGGTACTAAATCCATTTGAAAAAGTGAACATTCCAAAACACCGACAGACTGATGGATGTACACATCTCATCCCATCACAGAAAAGCAGGGACAGGACACTTTTAGCCATAAAGCTACCAAACAGACTGATGGATGTACACATCTCATCCCATCACAGAAAAGCAGGGACAGGACACTTTTAGCCATAAAGCTACCAAACAGACTGATGGATGTACACATCTCATCCCATCACAGAAAAGCAGGGACAGGACACTTTTAGCCATAAAGCTACCAAACAGACTGAGACCACAGGACATGTCTGCAGCTGTACTAAACCACATCCATACAAGCATCTAAAATGTGGAAATTATTTAGTCTTTGTAACTAACATGAAAAACAAATAAAGTATGTCAAGTACAGCACCAGGAAATGAGGGAGAATCATCTGCTCACCACGCAGCTGGAGTATCCGATTCCGGCCAGTTTCGGAGAGATGTGTTTCCACACTCCGATGCTGCCCTGTCGGATGCACTGTCCGGCCGCCAGCTCCAAGAAGAAGAGGGGAACTCCCACCACAGCGAGCAGGAGCACGTAAAGCAGGAGGAAGGCTCCTGGGGGGAGAGCCAGGGAGAGGCTACACGTCTCACAGAAGCCACATGTATGCTGTAAGAGCATATATGCAGCAAAAGAAGAGTGAATCCTCACCGTGCTGTGTGCACATACCACATGCGGAGGTGCAAAGTTCCGGTCCAGAAAGTAAAGATCCAGAGAAACCAGTTCATTATACAGAGTCACAGTCACAGAGCACTCAACTGATTGGTTGAAACAAAATTTTGGTCTGGATTTTTACTTTCTCAACCTGAAATTTCCACTTCGTACACTGTTAATAGCACCAACTATTTTTAACTGTGTTTCGTTATTCCACGTGGAAATTAAACTCCCAAAACGCACATGCTGTAATTTTGTTTCTACCCAAATTCACTGCTAAAACTCAAAACACACATTTCATGCATGTAAATGTACGTTTACAGTTTACATGCTCTACTTCAGCAGGAAACCTCTGGAGTCTAGACATTCAATGTAAAGCTGCCATTCTTGGCCTTCCAAGGCCAAAACTCAGCGTGTCAGGCAACAACTTAAATTGTCGTTAAAATTAAAAAACCACTGCAATTACATCACAACTTCTACTGCTCTGTCTGACACCAGATTCTTGCACTCGCATTTGATAACCTAGCATCCAATCGCAGTGCACATGAGAATATTTACTGCAGGCATCCATCTATTCATCTCCTAGAACTGGTACAGCATGTTCTTAGGGGGCCTGGATCCCATCCCAGGATGCACAATGCACACTATGGACAGGATGCCATTACAGGCAGCAACCCAATTCCTGTCAAAAGTGAAGTGACATAATAGCAGTACTCACCTCCCCCGTTCTGATGGCAAAGGTAAGGGAACCTCCAGACGTTCCCCAACCCGACACTGAAGCCCACCTGGGCTAGCAGGTACTGGATCTTACTGGCCCAGGCGTCGCGGGCTGGCTCCATGGCTGTGCCCAGTGAGCTGCCATTTCCATCCAAGAGCTGCGCATCAGACTGGGTGTCTGCCATCATTCTGCCATCCTCGTCAGCAGGCAAAGGGGTCTTCTCCATCTGGCAAGACAGTGACACCAGCAACTGTGACACAGTTGCATACACAACTACTGCCTTATTGCATTAATCATACAAAGAAATCCTGAGCAATGCACATCAGGTTATGGATTTTCATATATCATCTACCCTACTTCCAGCTAACATGTAAAATAGAGATGCGCGGATGGCGGTTATATCCGCGGGCGCTGCGGATAATCCGCGGGTTGGGTGGGTCGGGTAATAAAAAAATACATTTTAATTAATTGCGGGTGGGTCGCGGGTGGATGAGATCAATCATTAATGATGCAAATATCAACTACATTCTCTAAAATACGAACATGTTTTAAATGCATTTTTCAT